TAGATAAGGTGCGGTATGAGCCTCTGATAATATCTCCTTGCGCAACGCCTCAACTTTCGGGACCACGATCTTGCCTCTGAACTCTAAGGCTTCGTCTGATCCTAACTGAAAACCCTCGACGCCTCCTACACGGACTTTGGCCTCCATGACTCGAACGAACTCGTCAGAAGCTTGTTCCCGCCGGATTCTCTCTCTCAGCGTCGGCTGAATCTGCATGGCATTGACACTGGCACTGACACTCCCCGAAATGGTTGTGGGAAGTGCATCGACCGCCTAAATCTGCATCCGGGCGAACTCCTTAATCAACGAACTCTGTTGAGTAACGACATACGTCAAGTCACCCCTCACCTTTCGTCTTAGGGCATCCGCAACGACGTTCGCCTTCCCCGGATGGTACTGAATCGAGCAATCGTAATCTTTGACGAGCTCGAGCCAACGGCGCTGTCTCATGTTAAGCTCCTTCTGTGTGAAAATATACTGCAGGCTCTTGTGATCTGTGAAAATCTCGCTATGACCGCCGTAAAGGTAGTGTCGCCAGATCTTGAGAGCATGAACAACTGCGGCTAACTCCAAGTCGTGCGTCGGATAGTTCTGTTCGTGCGGCTTGAGCTGACGTGACACATAGGCAACGACCTGACCGTCCTGCATGAGTACACATCCCAAACCCTGCTTCGAAGCATCACTGAAAATGGTGAAACTCCGAGAAGGATCGGGAATAGTCAACACCGGGGCTAAAGTTAATCTCCTCTTGAGCTCCTGAAAGCTCGCCTCACAACGATCAGTCCACTCGAACTTCACAGACTTCCTCGTCAGCTGGGATAGTGGGAGGCCAATCTTAGAAAAGCCCTCGATGAACCTGCGATAATAGCCAGCTAAACCGCGAAAACTGCGAACCTCGAATGGACTCTTCGGTGTCGACCAGTTCTGAACAGCTGAGACCTTAGAAGGATCCACCTCGATACCTGCCTGAGTAATCACATGACCCAGAAAAGCTACCCGCTGGAGCCAGAACTCGCATTTGGAGAATTTTGCATACAACTTTTCTCGTCTGAGGGTTTCGAGAACCACCCTCAGATGCTCCTCGTGCTCCTTTTGGCTCTTCGAGTAGATAAGAATATCGTTAATAAAGACAATAACAAACTGATCGAGGTAGGGATGGAAAATACGGTTCATCAGGTCCATGAAAACCGCTGGAGCATTACTGAGGCTGAATGGCATGACGACGAACTCGTAATGGCCGTAACGAGTCCTGAAAGCGGTCTTAGCAATATTTGACTCCTTAATCTTCAGCTGGTGGTAGCCTGATCGTAAATCAATCTTTGAAAACACACAAGCTCCCCTCAACTGATCAAATAAGTCGTCGATCCTGGGAAGCGGATACTTGTTCTTGATCGTCAACCGGTTAAGATCCCTGTAACACCCCTCTTTTCGTACATTGAATTTTTAGAATAAATTTTCTTTTTATAAAACTTTTGAAAACTTTACTTGGAACTCAGGGTGCTACTTACTTTGAAAAACGTTTCATACATAATCCTTTCATATACATAAAACTTTTCATGAACATAAACATTGCATACATGAACATAGAACATTTCATGGCGTTGCCTTGAGAACTTACACTTTAACTTGACTTGCATGAATCATGACTTATTTCATAAAATAAACTTTGCATAGCGGAAGCTTTTAAAACATAAGTATCATAAACATAAAAACATGTGACCACCCTCGCTATCGCTCCTTTGCCAGCTCGCCAAAAACCTTGGTGTGGAAAACAAATGGGGTGAGCATTTCCACTTACTCCGTGAGAGATCCCTCTACGTTATCATCCTAATCAACTATAAAGCATGAAATCGTTTTCGTATACTCCACATAATCATGAGCTCCCGACGAGTGGTGACCCACAAGTCAAAAGACTTTCTTGCTTCTACAACACTATTAGACAACTAAACACTAGAGCCTTTGCATGCAGATGATTACATTCTTGTCACACTCCCACCACTCATCAAACTTCTTATACCACTTTAGGGTGGTGGAAGAACAATGCCTCTCGCAGATGGCACGACCAATTAGGCTTGATGAGAGTACCTTTCAATAGGTTGAAGGAAGACAACCTTTCACTAGGCTCCGTACAGTCTTATCGACGGGGACAACCGTTCGAAGAGTGCACCAACGAAGGTTACAAATAATCACTTACACCCTCTAACCCTGGCACTTAGCTACCCTCTAGAGTTATAGTCCGTGAACCTTGGTACTGCAATAAACGACTTGCTCGAATGTTGGAACATTGAATAAACATGGGTACTATGCAAGCTACTTAACTTCATTCATAGCATAGATAATTAAAGAGGATTAATAAAGCAGAATTTCCCCCACCTTTTCAGTAGAATGCTCGGCTTAGACTTGAACTTGACTTTGAACGAAACTCGAGGGCTCGACTCCTTGTAAAACTACATTCATTAGGGTCATGTCTTAGCGTCTTAACATGGAACTTATTCTTATACTTATACTTATAACAATACATATTCTTTGGAAACATTGCTCGCTTGGCTTCGCCTTGCTTGCATTCTTTTGAAAACATTCTTATTTTAAAGCATTTGGACAATTGAACTCTTAGCTTGCTTGCTTACGGATACTATTCTAATTATCTAAGGTTCATCATGATCTCACTCAATACTTAACAGCTCATACATGTCACATAAGCATGTTTAATAAACATAAGACTCACTTAAACAATTACACTTAGTCCTTTGACAAAACTTAACACGTGCTGCATTTTTAAAACGAGCATATCTTTCAACATACAAGTCGCATTAACATGATTCAAGTCTCATATTGCTCCTAAGACATGGTACTACAGCTTTTATTTAGCACTCAAAAGCAAATAAGGTCATATACATGGTCCAAAACTAGAAAACATTCAAAGCTGACATGCTGTCCAGAAATTTAAAATAAATTCATGCGCAGTTTTACGAAAACAGGTATCATTCACTACTCGGACCATAATTTTACTTGATTCCAGAACCACATGAAAGATAACTCATAGAACTATAATTTAAATGAAGACTTCAGGTTCATTTGAGCAAATTATCATACCATAAACACACAAAACATTCAAACCTAACTGCAGCCGATTTTAAGAAAAACTGCTCGCGCAACAATTTTGTAAAAATCATAACTTATTCGTTTTAAATCGAAATCGCACGATTCCAAAGCTCACGTAATTAAAACGGAACGAACTACATATCATATGAAGAACTCGAAAACTTAAAATAACATCTCAGGGGCCTAAATTGCTTCTGAACAGACAGTACAAAAATGACAATTACACATGAAATCATAACAATATTATCCGAACCTCTTAACATGTCGAAAGCAACATATAATCGATGATTCTAGGCACGTTTATCAGACAATAAGACACGGTTATGAACACATAAACTGACAACAATTAACCCTATGCACATATCATTCAATCAATTCTTTCGGAAGCCCGGCAAGGCTCCGACCAATTCCAATTCATCATATAACTCAAAATTATTTACTCGGACCTTTAGCAAGCATACGAGGTTCAATTATCAAATCTTAACACATTAATAATTCTTACGTAACTTAATCGAATTCAAAAATAGCAGTCCAAGAGGGTAAGCAATAGGGTTTTACCGCTCGGGAAAATTCTAACGGTTCGAAAGAGGGCTTGTGGCTAGACGATGGGCTGCGGTTAAAGGCTGGGATCCTTTACGGCTCGGCTGCTCTCGCTTGGCTCGCCGGAATTGCTGCGAAGGTGCTGCGACAATGGCGAAGGGCTGCTGCATGGTGTCGAACGTCGGAGGAGCTGTTGTCCGCGGCGGAGGAGGTGGCTTGCTGCGGCGGTTGTTGATCGGGAAAAAGGGGCCTGCGCGCGACGGTGGAGGGGCTGCTCGCTATGGTGAAGGCTTGTGTCTCACGTGGTGCTGCACGCGAAGGGCTCGCCAGCTACGTTTGACACCCCGACGGAACTCGACGGGACTCGACGGCTACGTTGGGTACTCCGACGGAACTCCACGGGTCCCGACGGCAATGGAGCTGCGACGGTGATGATGAAGAGGCTTGCGCGACTGGGATGGTGGTTGACTGCTCGCGATGGCTGTCTGCTGCTTAGACGATGAAGGTGGTCGGAGGATGAAGGTTCGAAGGTGGCGGCGAAGGGCTGCCGAAGTGCTCGCTGCGGTGGCGCTGAACGTGGAGGAAGGGCCTGCTCGACTTAGATGGAGCTTCGTGGAGGGCTCGCTGCAATCGTGGAGGATGGTGGTCGGCGATGGAGGCAGGGCCTGCGCGAACGGTGAAGATGGTGATGGTGATCGATGGTGGTGACGATGAACGATGGTGATGGTGAAGCTGGGGAAGAAGGTAGTCGATGATGATGCGATGATAGGATGATGAAGACGATGAAAGCTTCGGGAAAATAAAAAAAAAAGGAGAGGGCCGAGAGAGATGAGAGAGATCGGTGAGAGAGATAGAGATAAAGGGAGAGATATTTATTAAGTGTGGGATTGATACCGTATATAACAAGAGTTCTTGCACAATAGAACTAGGTAATTGATATAGGCTAGGACTCTTATTGCTTGGATGAGGAATAAGACATCGTGAAGTCTTGAGCTTTCATCTGGCTTAGGAAAATTGGACTGTTATTTGAGCTCAATTTATCATCTTAATATTTATTATCTTCATTAATACATTAAAATTATATTAATTAAATTAAGCCATTTCATAAATAATAATTATATCATTATTATTGCATTTTATATCTAGGAAAATTAAATAGATGAGGACATCTAGATAATTCCATTTTTATCATTAACTTGATAAATAAATGAGTGTGGACACTCACTTAATTATCACATTAAAATCGAGCTTTACAGAAAAATAAAAATAACATAATAAATCATTAAATTAAACATAAATAATATCCATGAAAAATAATACTTAAGCATAAAATGAATGACATGAGTTTGGGGTGTTACAATCCCGGTAGTCGATACACATGCTCATGGATCTGTCCTTTTTCTTGACAAAGAGAACGGGTGCTCCCCAAGGTGACACGCTCGGTCGGATGAAATCGAGTCGTAATAACTCCTGAATCTGTGCCTTAAGCTCCTGCAACTCCTTCGGCGCCATACGGTATTGGGCTTTAGATACTGGGCCGGCTCCTGGAATGAGGTCAATAGAGAACTCCACCTGCCGGTTAGGTGGTCCTTCTGGAAGCTCGTCTGGGAACACGTCCACAAACTCACGAACAACTGGAACATCGTGAGGTGATCGTGCTTTCTGAGAATCATCGACAAGGCTCACCAGATAACCCTGGCAGTTGCCTCGTCGCAGCAACTTGGTGGATTTCGCCATCGAAACAACATGAGGCAATGAACGATTCTTGCTGCCAAAGAAGGTAATCGAGTCGTCTCCCGGAAGATAGAGAGTAATCTCCCGGTCATGACATCGGATATCTGCATGATAAATGGATAGCCAATCCATCCCGAGAATAAGGTCAAAGTCCCTCATCTCGAGAACATACGCGTCGGCAGACAATGAACGACCACCGATGGAAAGGCTGAGATCTGAAGCTCTAGCTGAGGTCACTATCTTTCGTCCCGAGGCTAGACTCACCTCGAGAGGATCGACAGCGGTAATGGCATGAACTCTGATGGCATCAAGGCATCGTCGTGAAATAAAGGAGTGCGTCGCTCCAGTATCGAATAAAGCAAACACAGGAACATTATTAAGCATGATCATCCCTGACATAGCACCTGGCTGCTGCTCGGCCTCAACCTAATCGACTGCGTAAACTCGGGCCTGTTGTCTGCCCCTCTGCTGCTGCTGCTGGGGTGGCCTCTGAGCCTGCTGACGGGGCAGCTGCTGCTGTTGTGGCTGCTGAGGCTGCTGCGGCTGATGTGCCTTCTTCGGACAACGGTTAGCAAAGTGTCTGAGCTCGTGGCAGTAATAGCATATATCCTGGCCGAAGCGACACTCGCCTCGGTGAAAACGTCCGCATGTGGGGCACTGTGGAACCTGCTGCTGCCTCTGGCGAGTCCTCCTGTCGGTCTGAGCGCCCTTCCCCTTCCTCTTCTTCTCCTTCGTCGGCTCGGCAACTGGTAAAGCTGGTGAAGCTGTGGATGACTGGGCGGGGGCGAATGGCTGAGGACAATCACGGATGGCCTCCCTCCTAATGCTGGCGTCTACTTTCTGGGCAATGGAAACAGCGCGAGCGTACGTCTGGGTCCCGTGACCTACAATGTTATGACGGACTGCTGGGTAAATCCCGTCAATAAAGCGTTGTGCTCTCTGGGCCTCCGTGCGAACCAAGTCCGGAACAAAAGCTGCAA